GTATTGTCAAAAGCCAGACAGAAATGCCTACAAAACTATACCTATAAGAATTGCCTAGTCCTTCAAGAGTTCTGTCTGATTCGGAAAGAGAAAACTCTCATTATAAAAAATTTCATTTCCAGCCTTAAGAATTTTTCTCGTTTGTCTATATTTGTTCCATGTATATGAAAATGGTCCATATTGCAGATAACAGTTACGTTACACAAGCTAATAAAACTTTTGATTGATTGATAATAAAAAAGCCCAACAGTGCATATACGCTATAACAGAAACGTAAAAATCTTCAAAATAATGGCAGCCAGATATGTCAGGATGACATTAACATATATGAATTATGCATGTAATATATTACACATATTCGTGTGCTGCTGGTTACCATTTAAACTGCAGATCTTTCTAAAGCAAAATGCTACTGAGTGCAGCTACAGGTTGCAAACGGAACGAAGGTCAGGTAGCAGTAGCTACAGTGAAATTAAAACAAAACAAAAGTATGAAAAGCATTAAGAAAATAGGCATGATGGCCTAAATGGCTGAGACGCCATTGTGAACAAAGGAAACTATATTTTAAAATCTTCGTGGACGTTTTATATTAACAGACCTAAACCGAGACCTGCAATGTCATGTGTAGGCTTGTTCTTGAGATCATTGGCGTCATTTTGAGCCGTTTACATAAGCAGAATGTTTCTTGTCATATGCGATGTCCGCCATATTCACCGTTTTTCAACACCTTTGCTATATGGAATAGTTTATCACCTCGTGGAAGAACCAAATCCCCTCCGAACCTAGATCTGACTCGATTTGTTTGATTATCCGAGTTGAATGGAGGCCGCCTTGCCAATATCCCTTGCCAATATCTGCGTGTATCACCCATGTCATCGAATTTAAAGATGTTGTATGCTGTTAACAGTTTGTTCTTGTTAATTCCTTTTTTCCTTAGAAAGAAAGTCTCCAGCAGCATACATAACACTGGCATGACTAAGGACAATTACGGCGGATTTTCGCAGAAATTGATATTTCTCTGTCAACCTGAATATCACACAGACTTCTGAAAACACCGCAAGTAAAGGTGACCTCGTGTTTTAACCTAATTAACTTTAATTATAACTGTAGCTGCATGTCATGAGGTAGTGAAAGTGGCCAAGGCCAACCTTCCTATTCGAATAGCAGATCTCGTACGACCATGTAGAGACTTCCAGATTTTAACGAAGAGGACAGTTGTGCAGGTATTTCGCATAAGGAAACTGTCAGGTAAAGCAGTGCGTTTCCCGTATCACTCACAATGACAATGTCATCTGCCTACTCCAGGCCAGCAAGGTGTATAGCCGGATATCTTGAACTGCACGTTCCCTCCAGAATGAAACACTCGTCTGTGTCAAGGTCAGGACTGCTTCGCAAAAGAAAATTTGGAAAAGTGCTTAATAGTAAAATAAACGCATATCTTCCTGCTGAATTCATTAATAGCAGACGTGAGTCCTACATATGTGTTTTCCAAAATGAAAACGATTTGCTCAAATATAACAGCATTTTAGGACTTTTTACATCCTTGAAAGACGCATCGAATGAAATGAAGCATTAGTGTCAATGAAATTGGCAAATCACAGATAACCGTCTGCATTGATTATAATCCGACAGAGTGAAAATTTTGAACAACCAAAGGTACCACATCCAAAAACCTACCTGTCGCGGTCATTCGAGGAAAATACAGGCGAAATTCTCACGGCAGTTAACAGAATGTGATAGCACGATAGTTGACACAGTTGCCTTACAATTCCATTCTTCAGGTAAGCATTCTGAAGTCTACAGGAGGAAAGACTGCATGCCAAGAAACACGACTTAAATTTGCGGCTGCCGAATGACAATGGAAAACTGCGTACCGCTGAACAGAGCAGAAGAAAACTTCAAGATTATTATTAACACGCCTATATGACACTGGTCAAGTGATCGCTCGAACCAATTTTTTGGTTATTTCCTGTACATTTCAGAATGTTTAACCATCTTTCATGAATCGAAAAGCTTATAAGAGAAGTGACAGCTTTTTCTATCTCTTTCGGGGGAATTAAACCATCTACTTGCTCACAGCTGACTTTAGAATAATACGTAGATTAGTTGAATTTCCAATTCCCCGAAGCACTGGATTGGTTACCAGGAAAGAGGACATAACTATGCTGAGACCTGGCCATTTATGCCTTCTAAAAAATTAACTTTTTGTAATTTTCAGAAACGCGTTTTACTAGGTTTCGTTATAGCTGAATGTTGTGGTAGTGAAGAATAATGTTTATTTCGATTTTCTTCGAAATTACAGTTTTCTGCCGCATCGAGCTGAAAGCAACTGCTCAAACGTGAATGTCTGGTAAACTGATTAGTAAAGCATTCAATAGCACTGTGAGATCCATTCTATCACTAATATCTATCATGAATAATCGTCATATCATTAGTCCTACCTGTTGCGTTAAGAGCACATGTCGATAAACATCGAAGGAGTCCAAAAGAAGTGACTTGCCGATGCGATGAACGATCATACTGACAGGCGAGTTCGTGTATGGTAATTTCAGGAGCGACTTTATATTCTGAATATCGAGGAGATATATTAGTGAACCCTTCGGACTCAAATGTTGCGAATACCTCAGAATCCGTTATCACGTCCACTTTTCCAACATAATCTACGTATGAGTTGGCCATTGAAAAGCTATAAAATCATAATGAATACGACACTGGTACAAAAGTCTGAAGATGTATGAAGATAAGGGAAATAAAGGTTCACCATGAGGCAACCAATGCTACAGAAGACCTTAATGCAAGGAATCACTTACCGAACAATATAACAGCACCTTGTTATAATTATTATTATCTATTATCAGTTTATCTGCTAAATTCGTTACCATGGTGCGCAAAATTTAAAAGCCCCTTTCCTGTACTCATACAACGGTTGCAGTTTGAACAGCCGGGACCATCAGGGAAAGAGGAAACGCTTATGTAAAAGTTTAATGCATAATGCAAATAAAAACGTGGGATTTAGAGGAGACGACTTTTTCTTATCTTAATCATTTTCGTGTTTTCTTGTCATAATCATCACCGTCGCCATCATTATCATCATCGTTTAACCATGCTTCCTTTTGATCTCAATTTTCTGATATACCTTAATGGTGGTTAAAAGTCATAGAGTTTGAGCCGACAGTCATTCAACTAAGTGAAAAAATTGACTTCCTTGCGTTTCCGGCGGTATGAGTCGGTTTTCGCCCGCAGCTCGCTACTTTCACAATCTGATTAAAGGGCTTCGACTCACGCCATTTACTCTGATGCAGCACATGCTATGTGCATATAGCGATCGGATGGCTCGTAGCAACTGGCCATCGATCCCATAAACTGTTGCGGTGATTAAGAAATAGGCTTTCTAGGTCCTCAAAGCACATGTATACCGGATGGGCGAACTCCCACGATTTCTCCATAATCAGACGAAGAACGAACATCTACTTCGCTGTGCTTCGATCGGGCAGAAAGCTACAATCCACTTCTTGTATCTTGGAGTTACTTATTCCGCAACAGCTCCTTCCTAGAACCTTTGCGTAGACTTTACCCGGGAGGCTCAATAAAGTAATGTCACGATAAATGGAGTACCCCATCTGGCCTCGTTTCCTGAACAGGAGCACTAAAACTCCCGCTCTACAATCCTCTGGTTTCTTCCCCGTAGCCACTGCAATTTCACAGACAGACGTAAACCAGCACCTGTCTTGTCCGCCTAATGCTTTCAGCATTTCAGAGCGCATTTCGTCAATTCCAGCAGCCATTCCATTTTTCAAGCTTTTCACTACTTGTGCAATTTCATCTACAGGGAGAGAGTAATATTCTTTCCCTTCTGCTCTTCAGGCGAGTCTTTTTCCGGTTGCTTGGGTTTAAGGAGTTCCTTAAAGAACTTCATCCGTCGCCAAAGAATGTCGTAATCCTTGGTAATATCATAATCCTTGGTGTCCAGACTGGTCCAAGACTGCCCTTCATTTCACCTCAGAGCTGGCGAATGGTCTGCCAGAATATATTGTGTGGAAATTCGACTCCAACACCTCACCGAACTTTTCACAAGAATCAGCTTTATGTTTCGGCACTGTTTTCGATGCCGCCTTGTGTGCCTCGACACATCGCACGCGAGTAGAAGGCTCTTTGTTCCCAGTTATTTCAAGAACACTGTTTTCTTCCCTTTATCTGTCAGTTGTACCTCACGTGTTCACTATGAAGATCTTTTATGACCTCCAGGCTGCAGGCCAGCTGATTTATATCTGCAGCATTCGGCAGCAGCCTCGAGTAGGCCGCTCTTAAAGAGCTGCCACTCGGTTTTAACATCAGTTCTCATCACTGGGAC